ACGTTGTGATAAGAAATTTCTGAAAATATAAAATAAAAATTATAATAGTGCAAAGTGATTGATATTATCTAATCATAATTATTTGAAATATAATATCGCTTTCTTACGGCCTTTATGTATGGTGACTGTTGGTGGTAGCATATTAGGATCTTGTGGTATGTAACTATTTGTATTAGGGTCCAAAGGTAACAGATTTTGTTTTTTACTTCCACTGGACATTGAAGATGAGTCAGACGCAGATACTCGCTTGTTTCCTGTTTTCCGATAAGGTGGTTTTAAATCCCAAGATGAATCTAGTTCTGTCAGGTCACATCCAGGCCTTATTCCTATGTTTAGTTTATTTGTGTGTGAAAAAAAAACAAATAGGAAGGGGCAGGATTGATAACATAAATATGTATTTAAAAAAACTAAAGTCAGAAAATAAAATATATATGTGGGGGGGGGGGATTAACATTAATGAGATAACAAAAAAATAAAGAACTTAACATAAATGGATGGAATATATACATGTGGATGGTTTTAGGATTATAGTCGTACAGGTTATATAATTATACATATACACATTTGTAAAATTACTACCAATAATTAAAGAATGACAGAGTTAGAGATATGATGAATAAAAGAGTAAAATATGATATATTTTAAATCAATCACTCTTGTTTCAGGCCTTTAGCTAAACAATATATAAATTTTTATATATAATAATTAGATAATAATATATAATTATTTTGTACAAATGTTACTCACCATCGCTAAACATGACAGACTTAGATCCTTCTGAACGCTGCTTTGTACTACCCTCCCTTTTAAGAACACCAACAGGCACCATTACTGTTGGTGGTGGCGGCGGCAATCCACCTGCTAGTTGCTGTAAAGGTGGTATAGTTGAACAATATTCCATAGGATTATTTGGATTAGGTGGTCTTCCCTATAATCATTTATAAAATAATCCTACTATTAGCAATAAGTAATTCTTTTCTTTCTTAAAAAGATGCACTCCAAGTATAACATATCTATATGAGAGCTGTAGGATTACTATATTTATTAATCTTCATTATGTTACTCCCTATACTTACTTGAGGAGAGTTAACTTCACTATTGTTACCATAGCTTACACAGTTTGTAGGCCAATTATTTGCCTCTTGTTGATTTTCAGCTATGAAAAAAAAAAAAAAAAAAGAAAAAAGAAAGAAAGAAAGAAAAAGAAAACAATATTTATTCAAATATTTTTATACGTGTTTGGAAATAAAAACATTTACCTTTCATTAGAAGCTGATAACAGGCAACACAGACTCTTGAATGGATATTACCTTGATATTCCAATTTGTATTTCATATTACAACATTTGCTACAGAGTACCTATAACAGTAATAAAAAAAAGTGTAAAACAAATAATGTAATTTAGATTTGTATAAGTCACCATTTACCTTCCCACAAGCACGACAATGATGGCGTCGCTTAAGGACAGTAAATTTTAAATCACATAACATACAACTAGAAGCATTACTATCAGGAATCCAGAAGGGTGGTTGTTTTCCAAGTTTTTTAATAGATTCTGCTAAAGCAATTTCTGAGAGATCAACCACTATGTCTCGGCTGTTAGTACCATTACCTTCATTTTCTGATGTACCTTGCTGCCTGGAAGTGGTGCTAGGAGAACCTGTATTATTTTTTTTTTTTTACATTTCATATTATAGAAATTTACAATTAAAAGTAGTATTCATGATATATTTTGGATTAAATAATATAATAATTATTTTTTTATTAAAAAATATAAAAAAAATATATAATATTATATACCTGATGTATGATGGTCATTCATACTAACTGTTAAAGCGATATCTAAAGTTTGTGGACGAATTGCTTTATTTCCTCCTTCTGTATTTTCATTATGTTCTGAATTATTTTCCACACACACATCTGTACTTTTTGGTTGTATATCGGTACATAAATTAACAATATCATTTAAAGTTTTATTATCTTGTAACCTATGACTTTTGTCTTTGGTATCATAACTAGTATTACCAAGTATTTGTAATTCACTAATTTGATTATTATTTTGTTCTGAAGATGAAACTATATCTTTATTATTTTGTATTGTACAAACATTAGTTTTAACAGGTTGTAAAATTTCTTCTGATTGATCAGATTCATTATTTCCAATTTTAAATACATGTTTATTTTCAGAAGATGCCCAACTTTGTGCTTCATTTGTAGGTTGATTTTTTGTCCCTGTATCTTTAACATATTCTACATTATCTACAGGATTTTCCATTTCTTTAACTATTATGTTATTATCACTTTTTGTTTGTATGTGTTCTTCTTTATTTACAGGTATAACTGTTGTAAAATTATTAGATTTGTTCCAATATCTTTCATCATGTAAAATATTATCAGATACTTTTTCTTTTACTATGTCTTGATCATGTTTATTAACAGAACTTCTTTCAGAACATTCTTCAGTTTTAGTTTTAAATTCTTTTTCTACAAGCTGGCTATTGTCAATTTTATTAGTTGCTACAAGACTTTTTTTATCGTCTTTAGACTCTTCATAAGAAAATGTATTGTTACTTATATTGTTCTCAGTTGTATTCTTATATGCTTCAGATAACAAGGCATTCTGTGGATGTAGTGCATTTTCCGTTAATTTTTCTTCTATCTCTAATGTTTCTAAATATTTATTTAATTCTTCTTCTGATAAATCATTCATATTATTAAAACCAACTGGTTTTTGGGCAGAATATGTGACATTCGTAGTTTCATGAGAATTTGATGGCAATGTATTTCCATCAATATGAGATTCGTTTATCTTCTCAGAAGTTATGCCATTAGAAATATTTATTGCTTCAGTTTCTAAAATTTTAGTTGTATATAATTCATCTGTTATTTTACATGCAGTATCTGATTCTGATACATCTTCTGAAGCAGTATCATTAATTTTCTTATCTTCAAATACATGAATATGTTCATATTGAATATCTTCTGTATTGGGTTGAATAATTTTTTCTTGTTTATCAGAATCAATATCTTCATTATTATCTACTTCTTTACTTTTGTATTCAATATTTTTAAGATCCTGTTTACTACTTTCTACATGTAATTTTGAAGATTCCAGTGTATCTGTATTAACAAACTGATTTTTATTTTCTATTACATCTTGATTCAATGGTAGAACAACAGTTTGTTCCACATCATTGAGTATTTCTTCAACTACTTTATTTTTATCTGTTGTAGTTTTAATTAAATTATGATCAATGATCTCTGTACTTGTACTAGATATAACTTTTTCCTCGTTAACCATATCAGATTGTTTTTTAGGCCTAATATCTTGTTTATCCAACATACCGTCTACATAATCCAAACTTATTGTTGGTGCATTTATATATTCGTTTAAACTATTTAACACATTGCTAACAGTAGGCTTTATATTTGGCTGATTTAATTTCTTATCATATCTGTTTTGAAGTTGCTGATTGTTATTACTATTTTGTTGTTTTGTCAATAACGGCTGAGATGTGTTATTGTAAATTGTAATAGAAATTGGTTCAGAATCTTGATGATATATACATTGCTTTTGTGCAACTTTATGGTCATTGGTAGAATTTTCTGCATGAAAATGATTTATGGAATCTGTACATTTTCGTACTGAATCATCTTTATGATAATTATTTTGAGGCAAGATCATGCTTTTGTCAAGCGAAGACTTACTCTCTGTAATAACATTAGAGCTGTTCTCATGCTTTCCAAATGATAATACTTCAAATTCTTGAATTAATCTTCCACTGTCAACAGTAGTTACATTTGTAGACGTCGATTCTATGCCACACCTATCTACAGTCAATGTAGCATTAGTTATGGGAGAAGTTACAGAGGCTATTTGCTCTGCACAATCTGAAAAAAGCAAAAAAAAAATATATATATATATATTATTTTAATTACATTATATTATACGTAGAAATTGAATATTTCGAACAATAAGTATTCTTATGTACGTATAAAATATATCATAACGCATACCAAACAATTATAACAAATATTAACAAACCTATTATGAATTTAATTAATTTAATTAAGAAAATAAATATCAATAAAAATAATTTGATATACCTTCATTAAATTCGAAATCATCGAGAACCTTGTCTAAATCAATTGCAAATTTCTCCATTGTATAAATTACTGGTGTTTATAGAATAAGTACCATGTATAAAACAGGTTTATACGATTTTTGATAGTAAAACATGTAGTAACAGTGTCAAAGGCGCAAGAACGATGTGCACTGATACTAAATACGTATATAATTATTTTTTGTAAACACGTAAGAAAAGATAACGACGAATAATATTTCTTGATAATAATCCTAATGTCGAGATTTGTTATTTTATGAGAAATAAAATTTCCGTATTATAAAATGTAAAAAAAAAAAAAAATAAAAAAACCAAAATACTACAGTTCAATATTTTTTTCTTTAAACACTACTCGTTTGATAAGAAAATGAAAAATATCATTTTAAAAGATTGTTATTGTACAAAGAAACTAGGATTTTGGAAAATTGATACAAGCGACTTCAGCATCACGTGGACTATTTGTCAATGAAAAGTATAATGGTAACCTATTTACATTGACAACTGTCATTTTACAGCGGTTGTCATTGTATTGTACAGTTTACTATTATACACTTAAGTCATCCTTTACTGGCTGCCGTGTTGCCAAATTGTGCGTTTTTACTTGCGCAGTAGTTCGTTAATCGGCGGCAAATTTGAATAAATCTTTATTTTTATGAATTATATAACGTAGGTAATATTTAATCGATAAATTAATATTAATAATCAAATTTCAGATTGGATCACTTTTTAAGTAGTAAAAAATTTTAACTTATATGGGAAATGTAAAAACAATACATAGTTAATATAAACAAAATAATTCTTATGTTGCTCAGGATTACTCTTATAAGGTTTTCTTATATATTAATGTTACATAAATAAAAAAACCTATATTATATAAATTTAAATATTTTCACAATAAATTGTCTTATATATATATATATATACATAATATATTTAATTAACTCTATAGTGATAAAAATCCATAATCAAACGACTGATATTGATTCCAGAACATAATGTAATTATATATATTAACAGCATTATTGGTAGAGCAGAAAAAATGATATGTGTTTTATGAAGTATTTCAACACCTAAAAAAATACGTTTAATATTATACTTTTATGTAATATGCAAACAATTAATACAACTTACTTGTATAGCCCAAAAACGTGATATATATATAATATGCAACAGATATAAACCAAAGTGTATTCCCAACAAATCGTCCACCAAAGACATTTGTATTTATGAGGCCTATAAATTTTTTTTAGTTGTTTCTAATGTATCATATATTATGAAATTATTCTTGTCTTAAGTTACAACATATAAATGTGATTCAAATTTTCTTACCGTTATATATAAAAAGTTGTAGAATGTGAAGTATTATTAAAGGTGGAAAAAAAGCATTCAAATGAATGTCAAATGCATATCCCCATTCGACATCTTGACTTTTATCAATTCTTAAATATCGATTAGTTATAAACCTATATGTAATAAAAATATTGGATTACAAATACGGAATACAAACGCTTAGATTTGATATATATTTATATATGGTTATTACCAAAAAACAGTGGCTACTATTAAACCAACAACAATATAATCAACAAAAATCATATAAAGTAAAAGTCTTATAAATTGGAAAAATCCTAATCCCAAAACTACGGCAATACCAACTGCAGAAATACAAAGCCAACATGTTAATAATACTAAAAATGCTGGATCATCTCTTGCAAATTGTGATTTTGTTTCTGAAAATTTTAATTTTAATTGATTAAAAATTTTAAATTTCTTTTATACATTTGTGATAGAATACTTACGTTTTCTACTTTGAAAATTTCTATAAACTTTTTGTGGTGCTGTAAATAAAAATATCATTTGCCATAATGCAAACTCAAAATCCATTTGTTCAAATTTTAATAACTTCCTCAAATATTTATAACATTTTGTTGCAGCACTGATACAATTATGCCTGTAAGATAATCATATTTAATTTATATTATGTCTTTAAAAAGATTAAGATTTCTATGTCATACCTATATGTAACAGGCGTTGGTAACGTTGATCCTACATCTACTAAAATTGGAGATGTACAACGACTTGTAGGAGGAGAAGTTGAAAATTTCATTTTTGTTTACTTAGTTATGATTTTTGCTTTCTTACTGTCTCTCTTCTGAAAAAAAATTTAACAATTAATTTTTTATAACTATTGTATACAATTAGAAATATATTTATAAGAGTGTTATATCGTTAAAGAATGTAAACTTGTGTAAGAAAATAATAATTTATTTAAATATTACTATTAATAATTAAAAAGCTACCTTTATTTTATATTCGACCTGTAGACAAAAATAATGCATAACCTCGATTATACAACATAATTTATTTTTATGTAAATTCTTAGGATGACTTTTTCAAATATTCCTCCCGAATGTAAATATATGATTAAACTAGAAAAAAAAAAGAAAACAAAGGCATTTGACACGAGAGAACGTTAGATGAATTTAAGTCATAAGCTTAGTCAGTTGTATTATCCTGCTATGGACGATATTATTTTTAAAAGTTAGAAACGAATACTATAACATAATATATAATATTAATACATCTATTATTTATAATTTGATGAAAAGTTATACAATAAAACAGTGAAGATGTTTTGGGGTTTAATAATGGAGCCAAAAAAACGATATAGTCAAACCGTTGAAATACCATTTCACTTGTCTATGGCGACTTTGGATACTACAACCGGCAATGATGAAATAGTGCAAGTTACGATAACTTACAATGATACGAATTATTTACTTTGTAACCTGAAAAAAAGCACAATATGGCAAGTATCACTTGACTTGAATTTTGAAAAAGGAAATGAAATAACTTTCATATGTAATGGTGAGAGTTATGTACATTTAACTGGATATTTGAATCATAAATTAATTTTGAAAGAACAAGAAGAAAAACGAAATGAAGATTCACAACTAGCTAATAAACAAATAAAAAGAAAAGCAATGCATTATCCTAATGTGTCTTTAAAATCAAAACGAATGAAATGTGAAATTGAATCTTCGGATGAATTACAATCTGATTACAGTGAATATATAACTGGGACTGAGAGTGAAGAAGAAGATAATGATGAAGATGAAGATGAATATGAAGATGAAGAAGGAATAGGAATAGATGAAATAGATGATAGTTTTCAAGCTGATGATGATGATGAACTTTGTTTAAATATGGAGTCTATTGATGTCTCTGAAGACAAAGAAGAAATTGAAGAAGATATCGAAATAGAAAATAAATTTATCAAACGAAATAAAAAAGACAAACAAATCCAACAACAAGATAAGATGCAAGATGAAAGAAAATTAATGTATGAACAGGAAGATGAAGAAAGAAATCAAGATAGAAAACAACAAAAGAAAAAATTGAAAGTACAAAATGTTCTAAGAGAGATAAAGAAAACTAAACCTATAAAAATAAAAGATATAAAGATAGGCAATGGAGCAGTTGCAAAATCAGGAAAATTGATCTCCATTTATTATATGGGTAAATTAAAGAATGGGAAGAAATTTGATGAGAGTAAACAGGGAAATGGTTTTAAATTTAAACTTGGAAGAAATCAAGTGATTAAAGGATGGGACATAGGTATAATAGGTATGAAAGTTGGCGGAAAGAGGCAAATTATAATTCCTCCTGCTATGGGATATGGTGCTAGAGGTTTGCCCCCTTATATTCCTGGAAATAGTACGCTTGAATATGAAATTGAATTAAGAAATGTTCAATGATATTTAAAAAAATCTTAATATGATTTGATTAATTTCTAAGCTTGTGATTACTAAGAGCATCTGATTAACGTGAAACAAGTAAAACGAATTTTTGGTTAGTTTCAAATAATAATATTATTCAAATTGTATTCGATAAAATGTAATACCAGATGCAACATAATTATTATATGTGATATTTAATATATTTTAACCTTATGTATGTCAAATATGTTGAAATAAGTGATATAAACAAATTTTATTATGAAATTGAAAAAGAAACATTATGTTTATTGTCACATTATCATTCTAGCTATTAGACAATTAATATAAATTACCTGTACACTTTTTTTTTTTTATAACATTAGATATAAGCTTAATTTATGTCATACGTCAAATGTCAACAATATAAATAAGACAATAAATTTTAATTTTTGCATCATACACTTAATGAAAATTCACAATTTTATGTATCTTAATCTTTTCATATAAATTTCTTTTATCGGAATTAATGCGTACCGGGTTTTTTTTTACAGTTGGATAACTGATGATGTACATACATATATTAATTATGATTGGATGACTGGATAGAGAGAGAATGATAGATGTAATATGATTGCTACATAAACGAGATATGAAAATATTTATAAGCACCACATAAGTCATTAATATATTTAAGCATAAAAATGTTAAGATTCTATTAATTTACTAAAACGTAACAAAAAATAAAAAGATTAGAGATACGCTTTTATATTCGATCAACATTATTTACATGTTTCTCAATTTTCTGACGTTTTACAACGTGAAGATAGGTGTGCTGAAATCGCTATCATTCGCGCTCCCTAGTGGTTTAACCGGTAAACTTCAATAAAATTAAGTACTACATATAAAATAGAAATTAAATAAAATATTTACATATTATAATATATATATGTAATTATTATAATATATAATTATTAATATTATTCATAGAGTATGGAAAGGAATGTTTATTCTATGAAATTGTTATATAGCTACATTTTTAATAATATACATAGCTTCATTATCACATCCAAATAGTAAAGTTGTTTTATCAATGTCAATACTATTTATTGGTTTATGCATATCACAACAGAGCGATGTAACGTTAATATTACCATTTGTTCCTATTGTATTCAACCAATGAGTGTCTGTTGAATCTACAATGAAAATTACTATATGAATGACATATTTTATATGAATATGTATATATATATATATATACATGCTAGAAAAATAAAGTTACCTAATCTTAATTTTGAATTCTGTGTATTGTTCCAATGCCACAATTCACCACTGGTTGAACATGTAAATAAATTTTCTGGTCTGTCTGGATGAAACATAATTTCACTAACTGCTTTTGCATGAGCATTAAGCTGTGATATGGGATAAGTATGATGTCTTAAATCCCATACAGTCAAACTACCATCACCTCCACCTGCAACTATTATGTGCCTCTGTGTAGGATGATGTGCGATACTCATTGCTTCAGTCTGAAAAATATTTTATATAATTATTTAATATTTTAAGGACTATATTAATTACAAAAAAGATTAAAATATGAAGTGTATACGATACTTTGATCTGTTCTGAAAGCATAAAAGTAGTTGCAGGAGTATCATGATCATTTCTTAAATCCCAAACTTTCATGTGTCCTCGTAAATTGCCTGTCAGTATTTCACTATGTCTTAGGAAATCAACACAATAAATAGAACAGCTATCTGCATTCTCTACAAATTTAAATAAAGTTTGCTCATATGAATTAAAATTCTTGTAAGTGTACATTATATAAACATTAATATTTACCAATTGTTCTAACTGGTTTCTGTTGTGTAGTTGTCAGAAGATTGATTCGACCATCTTCACCCACCGAAACTATATCTTGCTCGAAATTAGAAAGAGCAGTACATGGAGCATAATCTAATGTTCTATATAAATAAACATTAATCATAGTAATGAATTTGCACAGAGTTATATATATCATGAAGTTTACTTACTTAAAATTATGTATAAATTCCCATGCCATATGTTCTTTAAATTGAGGAAATGGATTTTCATGGATTTGTAATAGTTTAACAGAGCCTAAAGATGACGATGCCACAAAAAAGTTACTGTTTATAAACTGTAAAATTTACATAATATTAATCTTAACCAAACAACATCTATTGTATATTTAATCTTGAATATAGAACCTTTATTTCTGTAACATCACCAAGAAATGAATACTCAGAAGCAATAGTTGGATATGTTTCTTCATCTTCGTTTGTTGTAAGAGACCAATATGTAATTTTATTTACCTAGATATTAGAATAAAACGTTATAGATGACAATAATTTATTTTATTCATAAACTCATTTCAATAGAAAAATTTAGGTTATGTATCATTCATATACCGGATCGTCCCAACTGCCGGTTAAAAAGTTTTTTATTTCTGCAAAATCTTCGCGTTTCCATCTTATCTTTGAAATCTTTTGAGATATAAATGTTCCTTGGACATTTTCGCTCATTTTAAAAAAAAACACTTTTTGTCAAAATTTCAATAAAACAAGAATATTATAAACGAAGTTACAGATCACATCAAAAAGAAGAAGAGTAATTCTGAAGTTAATGTAAAATGTGTATTGATTTAATGAAATATATTTATATAATGTTAACGAATTATAAATCTTTAAATTGTTCTTATTTTATATATTAAAATTTCTGATTTAAACTAAATCACGTATTAACGGTTAATACGAAAAAAAAAAGTTCGATTTCCCGCGCTCGTAACTAATATCACGCTCGCGCCATTTTCATCCAAGCGATGAAATTCGATGAAATCTATTTCTGTGGACTCCAGGAACATCACCATCTTAGAAAGTTAGAATCTCGACGAGAGTCAAATGATTCTATAACGTCCTACCATTCGTAATGTCGATAATGATAAAACGTTCGATATTACTTTTGTATATTTTTGTGTTGTATTCGATTATCGTTAGTGCAATTGTACCAGTTTCGAAAAATGGTAAATAGATTTAAAATTTAAAACAATAACGAAAAAAATTCATTATTAAAAGAATATATTATTGGTCTTTCATAACTTATGATAAAACACGACGCGTGTATTTTCAGTTGAAATCGAAAGCAATGTTAGAGACGATAATAATATTATCGAAACGCAATATGCAGTTTGTAAAATTTCAACGGAGGAATTAGTCGCAAACGCACATGCTACCGTAACAAAAGTTCTCACAGGAGCCTGCAATGCAAGTAAGATTCGTTCGATTAAGATCTGTAACTTTTTGATTTGAACAGTTTTTCTTTCGTTTCTGTTGTTTTTTCTTTCTTTCTTTTTTTTTCTTTCTTTTTTTTTGCTCGTACGACTAACTCCATAAAAATGAATTCTCTTACAGAAACAGTAGAAGCGAGATTTGAAAAATTAGAAAAAAATTTATCCGACGAATTACAGGAGATCAAGATACTTCTTCGTACATTAATGGAACAACGTGATACTTCTTCAAAAATCAATGATACGATTTATCGAAATAACAAACAAAACGTTAAATCTAATTATAAGATTTTTTACAACAATCATAATGTTTCTCCAAGGCAAAACGAGATCAATGAATTTAATTATACGATCAAAACGGAATCATTGAATAGTTAGTGAAAATAGAATAAATGTTTACTTATTCATTTTTTTATCTAATTATCGTTTTTGTATAAAACATTTAAGGTTTTTTTTTATTTTTTTTTATTTTTTTTTTTATTTTTTTTTTATTTTTTTTTTATTTTTTTTTTATTTTTTTTTTTTATTTTTTTTTTATTTTTTTTTCAGAATCCTTAAACGTTTTTACGTATTATTGGGAAATTAGGGGTTTCGAGGAGAAACTTTCGAAATGGGATAGGACACGTTTCGAACGTAGTTCAACCTTTTACGTGGGTCAACCTGGTTACGCGATGTATTTAAAAATTGTACCGAAATATTTTCCAGATGGTACTGTGTTTATAAGCGTTGGTTTAACGAGTGGTCAATACGATCCGTTCGTTAAATGGCCGTTCTCTTATAAAATCCAATTGTCGGTAAGAATATCCGATAAATAGAGAAATCTTAATAATTAACTTATTCGATATTATAAATATGAAATATTGTTTATTAAAGATTTTAGATCAGTCATTAGAAAAATTGAAAGAGGATAGACCTTCTCGTATTTGGGATCCAACTGCACTCTGTACAGAATATTTTTGGAAACGTCCTACATCGATTGGTGAAACGGATAATCCAGAATGTGTTGGTTTAAGTATCCCAAGAAATGTTATACTCTCTAGATTACCTTTGATTTTTCGTACTGGTACAAGTCATTCTCGATATATTTGGAACGACAGTATATTAGTGAAACTTGTTATCTATTTTTAAGTATTATCGATCTTTGAATGTCAATTGAAATGACGTGGAAAGAAAAACAAAAAAAACAAAAAAAAAATAAAAAAAAACAAAAGAAGAAAAAAGAGAAAAATCCAATGTCTCGTTTTACAACATGAAATTCGTTTATTATAATTTCTTTTACAGATATAACACAATTTTTCTTTTTTTTTTTGTGGCGTAAAGCATCAAAATTAATTATAATATAAAAACGGTAAAAATATATTATCAATTATATTCATATTTACGCGATATGAATCAATAGATATCGAAATGACGTTGCGATGTATTAAAAACATCTTCGTAATTGATATCACAATATTAAAATAATATATAAATGGAATAAATTAAATCATTCGCTTTCGATCGATATACTTATTTAAAAATATTATTAAACATAGATAAAATAATTCTAAATAATTTAATAATATATTGACTTTCGATTGTTCATTTCATGAATCTAAAGGAGTACTTATATTAATTTCTATCAGTCAATTAATTTCTTCCAGTGCTAATTCTCGATCGGGTAAAACTGTGAAGTCCTGTGTTATCTCTGGGAGCTCATAATCATTAGAACCTCGAGAAATTGTGTTTCGAATTTCTTCGGAAGCCGCATTTATTAAAGCTTTATAGATAGGTATCGGAAGACGAATTCTAATTCCTTTCTTAGAATCAAAGTACGGAGAATGAATTGAAGTTCCATAAAAACTCCTTTTCCTTCCACAGCCTGTGAAATTTTAGCCTTTTAACAAAAATGTTAAAGGATCGTATGAGATCCTTTCTTTCTTTAATGAAAATTCACTCACCAGTAAACGCATTGCAAAATGGTCTTTTCATTTTATATGTTCCATACATGGAAAATGCGTTCGAGATATCACGCTGAAATCGATCAGAATAATTTTTAAACGAAATATGAAAATATCGTAATAGATGTAAATAATCAAAATCATATAATGCTTATGATTTTTCTATTTAATAGCTTACCTCATTTTGCATTCCTTCTACGTATCCCATCTTTATTAAGAATATCAATGGTATTATGAAGAAAAGGTAACGAATTATCTAAAAATTCAAAGTAAATTTTGATAATTATAAATGGAACTAAAGAACGATTAATTGTAATTAAAGATTCTTACGATGGAAATACATAAAACAAGTAACTTCGTTTGATTTTCTAAAGACAAGAGCAAATGAATTGAAGATTTAAATGAATTAAGGAAATAATTGTGATTGAGAAATAAAAAGTTCGAAGAACTTCGAAAAACATTTTGAATTATTTCTGAAAAAAATATTCATATAATCTCATAATCGCCTACTAATTCCTATTGTTACATAATTTAAATAAAGTGGAAACGTTATACAATCACTTTTGTGCTTTGCTTAATTATCGATTAACATTAATACTTCATATTTTATCAAAGAGGAATAGATCTTTATGATGTTATTCGAAACAATCGTATTAATTAGATTCGTAGATTTGTTACAGTGTATATGTAATCAAAAATTGAACACTTGTTGCTTTAAAAATTTTGAAATAAATAATTAATCATGAAGCAAGCGAATTTGTAAAATTTGAAATATTATAGTTTCCGAGGTGAGTCCTGTACAATTTCTTTTTTTCATTGACGTCCATTCTCGAGTTTAGATGTATAAAACAGGCAATTTAAAAAATAATTATATTCTCGAGTATATTAAAATAAAAGAGAAAATATAAAAGTTTCCATAGTGTGAAATGTCTATCAACGGCCATTTTGACACGTCATTAAAACTATATTAATGGTAAATATCAATGTCGTTGAAAATATGCGATACTTGTATATCGCTATTAATGTACATTTAATAAAAAATAAAAATAATATAAAAATAAAAAAAATAAAAAATTAAGAAAAAAAAAAGGAAAAAATAAGTATATTAATTTTATAAAAAGAACGTGAAAGTATTTTTTTCTTAATGACTTTGACAAAATCAAAATACGTTCGATACGAGATTAAAAATAAAGTGATGAAAATATTACAACGTGATTCGGTCTTCATATCATAGTTTTTTGAAAAGCAATTACTATATATCTACGACGTCCCATGATAAATATATCAACACGAAGAATCTTGTAAAGAATTTAAACGTTCATACATATATTGCCGTTAGATCGCCCACGTATTACATAACTTCTTGTTTTCCTAGCATAAATATAATTTATCTAACAGGTGACATATAAAAAAAAAAAAAAAAGGAGATCAAGTTTCTTATATTCTTAACAAAATAACAAACAATTAACTTCATCATTCGCCACTATTAAATTTTAATAGGTATTCATTGATCGATATTCAATTTCAATTCGACTGTTTAATTTTTAAATCATAAAGAACGATCTTATTGCAAATTCTTTTTTTTTTTTTTCTTTGTCAAAAATGTTGAAGGAAAATGATCTTTTCTTATGAAAAGAAAGAAAACAAAAGAACGTACCTTCATTCTGGATAAGTTTGAATAAAGTTCTTCGCGTATTTTCCTTCGTCTTGATACTTTCTTTCTCTCTTTCTTTCTTGTTTTAAAAAAAAAAAAATAAAGCGAAATATTACTCGCTATTACTGTCTCGCACAATTTGAACTTTGACTAAAATGATTAGAAACGGCAAAGGGTTGCTTGATTCTCTGGGCACGAAGGGTGCCAAGGAGTAAACGTATTTGAGGAAGAAATCTGTGCGCGCTTGCTCTTCAAGTACAACCCCCTCCTCGATCAAAGAGAATCGAGACCGCCAGGAGAACGCATGACCGTACCTATATATACTCATTTTCTAACAGTGAATCGTGTATTTTATCATTTGCATTGGAAGGAGAATTTTATCCTCGCTTACGTAGTCTTGTGGTTACCCTCGAAATACATATATACATGCATACATACATACATATAACGTCTAAGAAGACAAAATGTATCATCCCTTGCACACTTCGTTGCTATTTGATCTTTATTCGTTCAAAATTCTTAATGTGATTTCTCTTCGGCAAGGCATTCAAGGTTAAGAAATGCAAATTCAAATTGCAATGTAATAAAAGAAAGATTAATTGAGAAAGATAAATTTCAATGCGATTTAAACATATCGAATTTATATATTTCATCGATGTATTATTTCAGCTACACAATTGACAATAAATATCTATAATGTTTATTGATAATAATTTCTTATTTTTTTTTTTATTTATTTTTTTGATAATTTCAACTTCAAACAATCTTTCGCTAAGAGAATTTACGATAAGGTAAATTGAAAACGATTGAATATCGATAACAAGAAATCGTGAAAAAAGGAGTAGTCGATAAGAGTTTGAGTAAATCATAGAAAAACGTCCGGGGTTAAGTACTTACATCGTTCGTACATCAGAACCTGCTGCGTTATGATAAGGTCATTCACACCCTTGAAACAATCGTGTGCCATTTTCTTTTTCATATTTAAACAAAATATATATATATATATATATATATATATATATATATATATATATATTTAATGATTTCAGTTAATACTAAAAATGAGGATTAACAAAACACATGCTAAAATAAACAGTTTTATATATATGTATTTAGTTTAATTATATACATATATATATATGTATATGTATAAAGATATATATATATATATACATATATATATATATATGTTTATGTATGTGTTTGTATAAAGATCTTTTGCAGACGCCTTAAAACATTATGAAACTTTTTATTTTTCAAGGAAAAAATGTAATATATTATATATTATACATTATATTATTTTATATATTATGTCCCTACGATTTTTATATTATAGTAAAATATCGAACAAGTGAAACATGACTTATTATACAAAAATCAGATTGATTATATCATAAAGGATGTTTTATATTTATATTATCGTAACAACTACTATAATTTTTTTAATAGCAATTTAATTGCTTTTATAGTGGTTTTATGTACAGTAGTAATAGAAGTTTAAATAATAGAAAGCAATTTCGAAAAAATGGCGCTGATTGTCAAAAATATGGGATATATGGTAAAGAAGATTAATGGCGGGAAATATGAAATATATCAATTTTTTTTGTTCAAACGTTTATCCTTCTTATTCGAAGTAGAACATATATTACAAATAACTTTGTTTTATTTCTATTGTTTTATAAAGAATTGATTAAAATTATTTATTATTTAGACGATATAGGTGTTACAAGGTAAATAAAATTTTTATATAATAATGTATAATGTATAGTTTATTCAAAAAGATTTTGTTCAAAATACATATAAATAAAAAATAAATGCTTCCATGTAGAACATGCCATTATGCGATTCAGTTGTCTGTGTGATAATTATCGAGAATGTACTTTCGTGTAAAAAAATAGGATAATTAAAATTAACTTTAGGCCACAATAATTTAACTCCGTTTTTCAGTTTACTGGCAGCAGAAGAGTTGCAAATTGAATAAACTCATAAAAAAGTGGAAAATTAAAATGTCAGATTTAATACATTTTATATATGTATAAATGTATATTCGTGATTGTTTAAAATCAAATAATACATTTAATTGATTATTAATTATTAATGCAATAGAAGGAAAGTATATTTTGTATTTACGATTAATAATCATAAGTTAAACATTCTTTTATAGCATAAGATTTAATAAGTGCTCTTATACTGCCTTAATTAGTAAATGTATAATGTTACAGAAAACTTTAAGAAAATAGATAGAGATATTAAATTTTATAAATTATTCATAACAAAGCGTATTCTAGCATGTATATTTTTTTTTTTTCTTTTTATCCTCCTTTTTGGTTTTGAATTGTTACATGTAAATTGACAATATTTCAAGCTAGGCCATATCTCGCATATGTTTGTTTGCCTTATTATACTTTTTTGATGTGATGTTTTTATTTCATTTAGAAATTATTTGACTGCAGAGTGATTCAACAGTACACATAATATTAATTCATTACATTGTTCAGACAAATAAGTCAGAAGATAATTCATGATGTGACTAGAATCTTTTTACACTTCATACATTCATTTATAGTCTTATGTGCAAAAGTATATAATAAAAACTGTAAAAATTACAATAGATTGTAATACATAGCTTTGGTTTATAGCATTTTTAGCGATATTATCCAAACAAGAAGGAAAATGCGACTTTTCTTAAGCTGCATGAGCTGTAAGTAGTGTAATTTTATGTTATTGATGTATTTGTACTCAGAGTACTATCATTGATAAATATATCATCCTATAATTGAATCTGTAATAAAAAAAGAAAATTATAAAAAGTTTTGATCTCATATAGTTAAATATAGAGCTAAACTATTTAAAACAGCTGCCTCGAAAACATGTTACATCGTATATCGTGAATAAAAACATTACTTTTTATATTATTAATACTTTATTTACGACTGATACTATGTATATTATGTAAAAATTATAAAATCTCTTGCCAAATTTGATAATTTTTTTTTTATGAATCTATTTATAATCACGATAGTTTCAATTATTGATTTTAATTAAAACAGAATATATGCATTACATTGATATATCAAGATATAACAGATTTTTTTTTTTTATTTTTTAATATACTATGATATGAGCAAATCAAATTATTTTGAAAAGCTATATAAAAGAATTGCACTACTTACAATAAATGCAAATCGATATATATATATATATAACATAGTAATATAATACATAAACGTTATATGTTTATTCTCTAAACTTAGTGCGTTATGCGATACATATGTACGATTGTACATATGGATAAATTCCTATGGCTTAAAATGTCAAAAAGGTATGAAATATTCTTTGTATTTAAAACTGTGCAATATTGATGCATAAAATTGTTAGTTAACAATTTGCATCATTAAATCATGTCTTAATCTGGAAGATATCCTCTAGCAGCTATTAAAATATCATATTATAGTTTACTTCAATTTGTTGAAGTTTATAAAGAAATTTCATGTACAATTAATTTATAAAAATCAATATTCTAAGTTTTAAAAATTAAGTTCAATATTATAGCATACAGTTTACTGCAAACATCTCAGACATATTTTAAATCTCAATCAAACATCTAATTACTTGAATGTTTTATTGTACTCAAAATTGTATAAAGGAAAAAAAAATAACTTATATATGTCTGATTGAAATCCAAAATTTTCTGTTTCTATGCTACAGTATGTACACCTAGCAAGCATTACTGTCTTGTTAGAATATTCTCACCTATGATAAAAATTCTTTACTCATGGACTCGCGTTATAATTTGCTCAAAATTCACACTGATTATAAACACGAACAGAATATGGCATTCAGTTGTTTTACAGATTAAAAAGCATATGGCACTCAAGTCCTATCCTTTTCTATTCTAAATTTTTTGAATATAAAAAATAGCATGTTCACAAGTGGAGGAATATATCTGTTATCATCACACTACGTTATATTTGAATCCCTTATATAGAGCATGTTTTTATTTGATATCCATGGCACAAGTACCATTTGAATTTGTAGTTCAATATAAATCAATGAAAGTCTTTTAAAAATTTTAACTGTAATTGCAGTGAATTTTATAGCAAACACTGACTTTTGCACCATGTTCATACTTTTCATTAGTGAGTGCAATAGTTTAAATCTATAAATATTTAAACGAAAAAAATGTTATGGTTTTATTTAAAATACATTGTGCTATTCTCTTTCTTGTGTAACTGTGCATAGCATCATATCCTTATCATTGATATTTCACATTATTTTTATTTTATTATTCCGCATTTATTTTGATTATTATTTTTGCAAAATAAGCTCACTTATTTATATGAAAAATAATTCATAGGCTCTCAATAATGTCAATAATGTCTATAGTCAGATTGTATCTATGTAACACACAACCTGTACAATACTGTATCTATTACATGCAACAATGGAATTAAAAAGTATGATATTTGATATCTGTTTGCAATAAAATAATATTAATATATATCCTTAACTTTTAAATAATCAAAATACAATAAATATCAATATACACAAAATACACTACGGTTCATTCTCTTACTATGCATATGTTGATAAAATGTTTAAATTGTAAACAATGAAGTATCCCATGAAGAATAGTAATAATTTTCAAAATAGTATCTACAAGTTCTCATTGCTGAATGTCGAACTTAGTGTCATCTTATTTCATTATTATTTACGTAGAAATTCGACATTTTACTGCAAAAGATTTATTAATCTTGTTAATAATTTTATTGCATACAATTGATGTAAAAAGTGCTGGCTTTGATTTTTTGATTTTTCGATGCTATGGCACTGTTTATTTAAGTCTATGATACTAATTTTTCAACTTGTAAAATTTGTTAGTATATCGATTGCTACAGTAACTAACATGTATACCTCCTAAAATGAATATATCCTTTTTTCTACTGTCATAAATATAAAAATCGAAACTCTGGCAGCCATGATAAGTAAAGCTTTGTTATTCTTTTTTATCTTATTTTTGACAGACACAACACATTCACACAATATTATAATAATTTAATGAGTATACTTCTAATCAATAAGTCTACTGCAAAATAAAATGAAAAGCTATCATTAAACCATATTTCTCATGATTGTTTCCTATTAATCGTCATACTGACTAGTTCACCGATAAATATAATCGTACTATGATATAAATTTAAAAAGTTCACTCTGCATAAAATTGTACCAAACTTTTTCTATGGATTTAATAAGTAATGTTGTAAAATTATTACAATATTATACTTTCTCGTTGTCTAAACTTTCAAGTCTTGTTTCAGTGTTACAACTTACATTAGGACCAGGAAGTTGTAAATTGTACTTTATTTGTAACACGGTGAACTGCAGCTGCCAGAAAAATTTATTAAATTGTATGCGCTGCTATCTCTTCTTAGTACATCTATCATATCGTTCTTATGACCAAACTAATTTCAGTCTGTCATTTCATGTGAGTGTTTACCTATATCAGTGAGATTCCATTTCCCTTGTAATTTATAACATAATGCATCTTCTCTGTCGACGTTTTTGTGGTTCAGGTCTTAAAACTGCACGTACTGCTTCATCAAATACTTGTTTTAAGCCACGTTGTGTGAGAGCAGAACATTCCATGTATTTTACAGCACGAATCTGTAACTCATAAAACACATATCATTTTTGTCACCGATATCTATAATATGTATTAACAAAACACGATTTCATATCAACCTTATTAGCCAATTTTTGTCCTTGTTCTCTCTTTATGGCACTAAGTCCTTGTTCAGCTAAGGCAATTAAAGTTTCACGATCATCTCGTAAATCTATTTTAGTTCCAACAAGTATCATCGGTGCATCTGGGCAGTGGTGTTTTATTTCTGGATACCATTTACTAGTAACATTTTCAAAAGACGAAGGACTTGTTACAGAAAAACATATAAGAAATACATCAGTCTGTGGATAAGAGAGAGGCCGAAGTCTGTCATAGTCTTCTTGGCCTGCCGTGTCCCAAAGTCCTAAGCTTACAGGAATTCCATCCACCACCATGGGTGCTGAATAATTATCAAATCTATATAAACATAATTCAAATGAAATTGTAATTATATTGAAATAAGTTATATAATTTATTTAAGTTATATCTTTAATTAATAAAATATTAAATAGAAATGATGTTTTATATTTATATATATATATATATATATATATATATATATATATATATTATTGCACCCTATATAGTAATAATTTCTTTCACAGATATAAAACTTAAAAGATATTTTTATATATCCTAACAAGATGCTTTATAAAAAGACAATATAAAATAAATGGTTTCCTGTATGCAGTAGTAGGGTGCTCTTATTACCACTGCATTACTATTATTAGCCATACCAGTTCATCGTTCTAAAGAAGAAATATGTAGGGAAAAAATAGAAAGATGATTTCCAAATGGAAGAAAGAAATAAAAATAAAATGATTCCTTACAAATCTGTATACATATATATATACATATATATAAATGTACTTTAGATAAATTATTACATGGCAATATAATATTACATTTCACTTACACAGTTGGTACATATTCTCCAGGGAAACTGTCTGTGGTATATGATATTAACATACATGTTTTTCCAACTGTTCCATCTCCTACTACAACGCATTTGATAGGTCTACCAGAGCTCATGATTCTGATTCTAAAGTGATAAACATAAAATATTAATAATATAGCACTTACACACATATATGTAAATATATATATATATGTTAATTTTAAAACAAATGAAAGAAAAATTTATATGTAATATAGGAAAACAAAAAACAAGTTGTCAATAATAAAATATAAATTGATAGTTCTAATCATTCTTGTGAATATTATCGATTTTTCAAATTATCTATAAAAAAAAATTAAAGTAATCCGGTTAGAAAAAAAAAAAAGAAAAAAAAACAAGAAACGAAAAATCAATAAACCAACGAAAAAATTTATTCCATATATAAAAAAAATTTTTTAAAGCATTACTGCCCTCATAGACACTTTATTAACAGTGAATTACTTCGTTGGTTTGTCAATATAACGCAAAATAATTAATTAAAAATGATATTTAAAATAATTAATTTATATACATAGATATCGTATGGTTATTTTATTTAGCACAAATAAGTGTGTTAGTTCGTTTTCGATAGTATAATTTAGTGATATCAGTGACATTATAACCATTCTACTAAATGAGAAGGGCTTGTCCTAATAATGTTACATTATTAGTATCGCGTTATGTCGAATTGAATAAATGATATTTCTAATAGCACTCACCAAAATACGAAAAAAAAAAACAATTCCTTTCTAGAAAAGAAACTTATTTAATACTAGTTTATAGAATATATGTAGTTAGCACTCTTCAAAAAATCACAAAAGCAGATGCCATGATGGTGTTGCGGTTTTTCGAGCTCATAGACGTAGTCAGACGTAGTCTTCGCTTGGTGACAGATGTTCGACAATCACCTTTTCCCTTCCCCTCTGTTTCGAAAAAGTTATTGTTCGGAACGGTTCGGCAGAGACATCTATCATACGGGATATCCATTCAAATAAAATTCTTTTATGTCATAACATTCGATATAAAAAAAATATTTGTACGTTAGTAAACGCATTGAGAAAACTTACGAATAATAATGCGTGATATTAAATAATAACTTTGAGATACGTTGAATATTTTTTTTTAAACAATGAAACTTTATTATTTCAATATCTTCTTTTTGACACTTTCTTTTACTACACGAAATTATTTAGAAACTGTTTCATTCGTTTCAATTACTTTGTGTGACGTAGTCTATGATAATGCAATGTGACCAACTGTAGAAATTATAAAACGTATTTCTTTCGTTTATGTTTGTCAAGTTTCTACACTGTTCGTAAACGTTTGCTTGATGCATTGTGATTTTATATCAGTTTATCAGTTTTGTATATATTTTCAATCGAATGTTTAAATAATTGTTTATTCTTCATTAAGAGATTGAAAAAATAGAAGAGATTAAAGTAAAATGCCTGCACAAGATATTGCGGTTCCACAACCGCCAGCAACCGAAGGAGAAGAAAATGCACCTTCGTCCCAACCAATTGTAGGAATTATTTATCCTCCTCCAGAAGTTAGAAGTATCCTTTTAAATTATAAATTACAAAATGATCGATTAAGGTAATACTGTCTATGAAGTTGAATATAATGATGAAATATCATATTTATGTATATATTTTTTCCTTACGAAATTATGCAGATATCGTTGACAAAACTGCTAGCTTCGTAGCTAGAAATGGACCGGAATTTGAATCAAGAATTAGACAAAATGAATTAGGAAATGCAAAATTTAATTTCTTGAATTTTGGCGATCCATATCATGCATATTATCAACACAAAGTTAAAGAATTTAAAGAAGGTAAAGCTCAGGAACCGTCTATGGGCTCAGGTGGAGGGAAAACTGTTAATTTAACGGCACATCAAAAGCAACAAGAAATTTTAAAACAAGTAGAACAGCCCTTTGTTCCTAAAGATCCACCTGCAGAATTTGAATTTATCGCAGATCCTCCTTCTATTTCTGCATTGGATTTGTATGTATTGATTGATCATTTTTATTCTGCAAAAGTTTATTTATATCTTTAAATAAAAAATATATTCTATTTTATTTTAGGGATATTGTGAAATTAACAGCACAATTTGTAGCACGTAATGGACGTCAGTTTTTAACCAATTTAATGAATAGAGAGCAACGTAATTTTCAATTTGATTTTTTACGTCCTCAACATTCATTGTTTCAATATTTTACAAAACTTTTGGAACAATATACCAAAGTATACATACATACATATATATATATTTTTTTTTTATTATTAAAATTGAATAATTTCTTATATTTATTTGTTTATTCCGATTTATTAATAATCATAATTTTTAATAGGTATTAATTCCACCTAAAGATTTATTACCACGATTAAAAGATGAAGTGTTTAATATGGATAAGATTTTAGAACAGGTTAAGTATCGCGCTGAATGGCTGAAATATCAAGAAGCTCAAAGACGTAAAGAGGAAGAAGAATTAGAGCGAGAGAGAGTTGCTTATGCGCAAATTGATTGGCATGATTTTGTTGTCGTTGAAACTGTAGATTATCAACAATTTGAAGTTGGTAATTTTCCAGCACCAACAACTCCCGATGAAGTTGGAGCTAGGGTTCTTATGCAGGTAAACTGGATGATGATAAAAGAATATTAAAAATATCATTGTTAATCAAACGCTCATTTGTTTATTAAATATTATTAAATAGGAACGTATTGAAGAAGGGGAAGATGTTGAAATGCAAATTGACAGTGATGGAGAAGAGGAGATGCAAACTCGTACTGAAGGTGAAAAAGATCGTGCTAAGGACAACAATCAGGTGATTATATTAAAAATATTTAATTGTTATTGGATATATAAAGCATTAATATTATTTTACGTTGTTTTCAGGTACAAGATATGGAGGAGGATTCAAGTGATGACGATGATGTGTCTCCTCCAGGTGATAGTCATAAGTCCAAAGAATCTAAAATACGAGACGCAAGTATGCAACCTCCACCATTACCACCGACACCTGGAAACGTTGTAGTAAAGAAAGGATATGATCCAAAACAACATGGTAAGTAAATAGTTTCACGAACTTTTTATTTTAAAAATATACTATTAGAGATATTGTTAATATTTCAAACGTTTCAGCTGTTAAAGCTGCTCGTCCAGTTGCTCCGGATGAATATTTGATTTCACCGATTACGGGAGAACGTATACCTGCTAGTAAAGTGCAAGAACATATGAGAATTGGTTTATTAGATCCACGTTGGGTTGAACAACGGGATAAACATCTAGATAAATTAGCGCAAGAAACGGTATTTGCTCCGGGTACTGCGATTGAGGCTAGTCTTAAGCAACTCGCTGAAAGACGTACTGATATATTTGGTGTTGGTGACGAAGAAACTGCAATCGGTAAAAAGATCGGCGAAGAGGATAAAAAGAAAGACGATAAGGTTACATGGGATGGTCATACATCTAGCGTTGAAGCTGCTACAAGAGCAGCTCGAGCTAATATCACGTTAGAGGAACAAATTCATCAAATACACAAGGTTAAGGGACTTCTTCCGGACGAAGAAAAGGAAAAGATTGGACCAAAGCCTGCTAATCGTGCTGCAGAACTTTCACATATGGCTGCTGTTGCCTCTAAGCCTCAAGCTACTTTAAAAGCACCACCCAAACCACCAGCTCCAAAACCAATACCAGTACCAGCACAACCACCACCACCGCCAACTATGAGTATGCCTACAATGGCAATTCCACAACCAATGATGCCACAGGCACCGATGATGATGATGGCTCCTATGCCACCAATCAGACCACCGCCACTTATGAGTATGATCTATCAATTATTTATCGTTTTACGTAATTTCAGAACGTTTAAATTTTATACTTTTATATGATTAAAATTTTAGCACCAACTATGTCACCATTTATGCCAACACCACCACCTATGCAACCACCAATGGCATCAGCTGTAAGTGTTAAGAACTTGATAGTCATCTGTATGTGAATATGTGAATTAATTATTTTTTTCTTTTTTTTAAGATTGGTATCAAACATACTGCAGAACCTATGGAAGAAGAACCTCAGGCTAAGAAATTGCGTTCTGAAGATACATTGATTCCAGAACAAGCATTCCTTGCAAGAAATAAGGTAGAATAAATAACAAGAAATAATTTATGTTGTATATAAAATTATGATTGTATTACTATAAAAAAAAATTCTTTTTTTTTTTTTTTTTGTATTAGGGTCCAGTACAATTAAATATAGCTGTGCCTATGATGACCGAAAAGGCAGAATGGAAATTGAATGGGCAGACGTTAAATATCACTCTGCAATTAAGTGATACTGTTGTAACTATGAAAGCTTTGATTCATGAACAAACTGGTATGCCACCGGGAAAACAAAAGTTACAATACGAGGTATGAAATATTTTCAATGAAAAATTTAATAATGTAATTTTTCTGTTTTTAATTAATAAGAAATATTTATATATATATTTTTTATTGTCGATTATAAATTAATTAATGAATTATTTCAGGGAATGTTCTTTAAAGATGGTAATACTCTTGCTTATTATAATTTATCATCCGGAAATGTTATTAATCTTCTTCCCAAGGAAAGAGGTGGTAGGAAGAAATAAATAATGATTTTTATTAGTAAGTTGAAAAACATTTTTATTTATCTATCATATATAATATCTTGTTTTATTAAAAAAAGATTAGAAAAACATATTTTTTCAATTAATATATATTCTCTAATGATTATATATAAAAATAATGGGAATGATATAATTGAAAAGTAATTATTACAAATAATAATAAAATACAAAAATAAAAAAGAAAGATTAGATTTATTATTAATTAATACAATATATTTTAATAAGTTAACAATAATAATTTAATATATTAAATTTGGCATTATATATATATATATATTATACAATTTATATTATGAATTCTATATATTATAAATTCCCTTTAATAAATTGCACTTAGTTTTTCATACAATTTCAACAATTGCATTTAGTTTTTCTTGTACTTTTAAGCACTAAGGCACTGTTAATAAAAAAAAAAAGAGATTAAATTAAGTATATAGCAAGAAATATTTAAAATAGAACAAGTATTAGGAAATCAATTGTATTTTAATATTTGTGCTTCGTTTGTAAGTTGTTTATGATTTTCGCATTTTTTCTTTTTCTTTTTTTTTTTCCAAGAAATAAAAACATAAGAAAACGTGCATGCTCTTATATATATGTATAAGTAGCGTAAATGCATTAAATCATACGTGACGTATCTATCATTACGTACTCCAAGATTCTAACGGAGATTAATCTTATGTAAAAATTGTTTTATTAGAACTTTGACACTATTATGAATAGATAAAATTTTTCTATTACCTAAATTAAGTATAAATGTTTAAGATAATGCATATGCGTAGGTAATTATATATCATTGTGTGTATATGTATATATATATATATATATATATATATATATATATATATATATATATATACACATAACTATGATATGCATCTATCGCGATATAAAATTGTGGAATTTGTTGGAAGTTAATTAGCTAAAGATTTATGCAATCGAATTTATTGCAATATTTCATTTTACTTATCTGACTGTGATTGATTTCTTTTTATTATTCTTTCTATCAACTTTCGATAACGTTGCGTCATTGGTCGATAAATCTAAAAGTACATTTATAAAATTGAATAATTTTCATATTTTTTAAACAGATTAATTATATATATAATGTATAATTGAAAATCAAACTTAATGGGTATAGATCTTGATAGATATTAACTTACAGATTCAGCATCGTCGTATGGTCGACATACGAGTGTCGGTTCTGGTAAAGAAGCAGTTATATCTTCAAAGTTATTTTCGTTTCTTAATAAACCATGTTTTGCTTGATATGCTGCTCCCATCATAGCCGAATTCGTAATTTCCTTTTATAATAAATATATATATATATTAAATCAAATCAAATAATAGAAATAAACACACATGCGATATAATTCTTATAAAATTAATATTAACCCCTGATTGTGTACACTTCAAAATAATTTCAACTTGTGCGACGTTTGGATTGCGCGATACCCCAGGCACTTTGAACAGCTGTCATTTATACAGAATGAATAATTTTATCTCCAAAATGAAAGTATATTCTTTAAAGCTTCGATAATAATAATTAGTAGTTTTGAAAATGCATTTTAAATTCTGTCATTATAAAAAAAAAAAAAAAAAAAAAAAATTCATGAATCATACAATGCGCAAATTGTTTTAATTAAATTCAAATTTATTCTGGGGTATCCTGTAATCTTGACATAAGGGTTGTGTGTTTTTCTTTATTTTTTTATCGTTTTAAATAATTACCGATATATAGACAGGCGAATTGAAGACATCAGCAAGTACTTGTAGTATAGTTTTATTAGCAGATGCACCGCCTGTTGCTATTATACGAGTATTGGGACCTAATTTTATAGAATTAGTAAAGTTTAGAAAAAAAGAGAAAATATTCGTAATTCATAATAATTTACACTAACCAATAACAAAACCAAAATCTTCTGCGTGTGCTCTTTTTGCCACAAATTGGCCTTCAATGAGTGCTCGAACCTCTACCTCTTTCGAGCTATATCGATTAATTTCATCGTTAGCTTTATTAAATCTATGATCACCGATCACGGACGGTAAAATTTCCTGTGCGTCAAAATATAATCCAAAATTTCCAAAATTTCCTCGCGGTGTACTTTCTAATAATTCGTTAAATATTTGCCATGAACCTTGCGCAGCATTGTCACGTATTCTTTCTCTAGTCAATGATCCATTTTTAAAACTAAACGTATATATACATATATATATATATATATATAAAAATTTAATTGATAACATTCTATTAGAAATAAAATATGATATAGTGAATTTATATCGTTACCAAAGTAATGCCATATATGCCTCATCTTCAATAGGATTGCAGAGAATGTGCCCATCGATAGCAGTTTTTGGTTCGTTCAGCCATAAAAATAAAGTATCACTAGTTCCTAAACTACATGCAATATCTCCTTTTTTCAATCTCATTCCTAAACATAGTTAAATAATATATATATATATATATAATATATATATATATATATATATATATATATATATATATATATATATATATATATATATATATATATATACATGTTTTTTTTTTCTTTATATACATTACATTCTCAATTTTATATATTAACAAAACCACTTTGAAATTTCCACAGATAACACGTACCTACCAACGAACCCGGATTATCTCCTGTAAATGCAATTATCCTGCAACTCTCATTGAAGCCAAATCTTTCGACAAAGTAAGACGATATTGGACCGATATTGTTATAGGAAGAGATCGGTTTGCCCAATTTTTTTCTTAAATCAGGCGCACAGGTCTATGAAAATAAAGTAAAAAAAAAAAAAAAAAAAAAAAAAAAGGAGAATAGAGTTAAGTTAATTTATCAATAGTCATTAATCAAAATTGTATTATATTTACCTCTAACAAGACATCGTCCCAATCCTTCGTACGAATGTTTAATAGATTCATACCAGAGCCGTCTGACCAATCGATTGGCGCAAAGTCACCCAAGAAGAGAGAGGCAAGAAAACTACTGATCAAAGAAATTCTCTGAAAGAATGAATATATCCAATTGATAGAAACTAGAGAAATCAGGTAAAGGCATTTTACATGGAATTTGTTAGCATCAAGATAAACCGTTAAACAATCGTATTGAGAACAAACTGAATCGTACAGAAAAGGTATGGTTATAAAAGGGGATGTGACGGAGTGTTATATAAAGTCTTTGATAGATCCCATTGTATATACAGGTAAATGGGTAGCACACTAAATATTTATTGAATACTTTCGAATACCTCGATTTTACGCTGTTTTCTATTTCTTTTCTTTATTTTATTTTTCTTTTTTTTTTTTCTTTTTTCAAGCGAAGAAACCGAAGAATGTGTTTAATTAGGTATACCTCGGTACTACTATAGGCTTCTGGCCTTCTTCGTGCTATCTTTGCTATTTGCGGTCCTGCAAATCTTTCGTATGCCCGAGACCCAGTTATTTCTGCCAATTTCTACAATTGAAAATTTTCAATTTACGACATTATGAATATATTTATCGTTTCATATAATCGATTATATATAATTTTGATTAGAAATAAAAGACTTTACTTTTGGGTCACCTACGGTCATCTCGAAAAGATGACACTCGTTGGACGTACTAGAATCCATCCATACAGGCGATTGTGTTATCGAAAACGACGTTGCAAATTGTTCGTGTAAAAATTTCGTTGGTTCTAAATTTTTCAATAGACTTTGACTACCTTTCCCCCAATAAACGGTACCGTGTTGCTGTTAAATGATATAGCATTATTGCATTAAGAAATAACAACAGAAAGAGAGGTTTATAATTATATTCATTTTTTTTTGTTTTCTTTTTCCCCTTTACCTGAGCGCATCCGGAAATAGCTGAGACTTTGCTAAAATCAACCCCGCAAACACGTAGTTTGTCTAATATCATATCCAATGCCTTGATCCACATCAAAGTTGGTGCCACTACTACGTGAGATTCGCATTTATTTTGTATAACACCTCCGTACGTTCTAAAAATACAAAAAA